GATGCGGAAGTCCAGCAGGACATCGTTGGGGTCGCGCACTTCGGTCAGTCCAGCCATGGGTCTAAGTTTGCTCTCCTGTCTGTTACAGTGGCGTCCAGACTCAAGAAGACACGACGTGTTCGGCAGCTTGGACGACAAAGGTAGATCACACCGAACAACGCGTTTGGAAGGAAGCAGGGATGCCACAATGGTGATCCCTTTGATTGAACAAATCAAAATTCAGCACTTCCCCTTCATGGATTCCCATGTGACCAGGAGGACATGGACGAGGAAGAGGGGCTAGAGGAAGCGGAGGACCAAGACGACAACGACGACGATGAAAACATCGAGGACAAGAACGATGACGACGATAACGACAACGACAAAAACGATGATGATGATGAGAACGGCAGCAAAGAAGACCACGAAGAAGAAGAAGTAGAAGAAGAAGAAGTAGAAGAATAGAAGAGGAGGAGGAGAAGGAGAAGAAAGAGAAAGGCACTATGAGGTCGAAGATAATGTAGTGCCACTGGACTAACGCGGCAAGATGGATGGATCACATTGGCCACCAAGAAGCAGAAAGTATAATAGGGCCAGAGTGTATTAAACTGTCAGTGTGGATTATTTTGGGAACATGACGTGCAGCGGACACCCAGGCTCAAAGTTCGAGAGTTAGAGAAGAGTGAATACTCTCATTCCCCCTCCCTTACCCCTTCAGTGGCATGCTGGTATTATGCAAAGGCCATCTTTTATGGGCCATCTTTTTGGGGGCACCCTTCAGACTGTGACAACCCACACAGACTCTATTTGGACCCCTCTCACTTAACAGGATGCCAAGTCCGAAGAGAATAATTCCAAATCCTCCTCCTCCTCCTCCTCCTCCTCCTCCTCCTCCAATACTTGCACACCCCAATAGTCAAAATAGCTAATAGCACACTCAAAATGTAAGACTAGATGGTACATGTTGTTGGCTACTACCTTCAAGCAATCAGATGACGACCACCACAGTCAATGATGTGAAAAGGTGTCAGTGATCGTCCTCATGCCTTAAAAAACCAAGCTGTCTGTGTTCATCCCCATCGCGAAAAGATTTCGACTCTCAGAAAATGCCCACTTGCTGAGGTGTCGAATCAGGCGAGCCATGAGATAATATACATGTGCTGGTCTACTCCACAAAGTGTCTGCTTGTCCCCGTTCTCTTCTGCTAACCGTTTCTGTAGAAAGCAACATACAGACCACAGAGAGAGAGAGAGAGAGAGAGAGAGAGAGAGAGAGAGAGAGAGAGAGAGAGAGAGAGAGAGAGAGAGAGAGAGCATTATGGCAGCCAGGTTCATTAAATAAATCTTATCTCTGCTTTTTCTTGTTTGTTTAAAAGAAAAGAAAAGATGCGCGGTATCTGAGTTTATCTGGTCTTTGTTCAGCAAGAAGAGTGACGTCACCACAAAGGTAGAAAGGAAGGAAGGAAGGAAGGAAGGAAGAGGAAAGTTCATTGGATGCATCTTTGGGAGGGAGAAGTGGGAGATACAGAGTTAACAGCTAGGAGTTAGCAGTTAGCCAAGTTAGCAGTCAGGAGTCAGCCAAGTTAGCAGTTGTGCGTTAGCAGTTCGCCAAGTTAGCAGTCAGGAGTTAGCACTTAGCCAAGTTAATTTAGCAGTTTGGGAGGGAGAAGCGGCAGCTACAGAGTTAGTAGTTATGGGTTAGCAGTTAGGAGTTAGCGGTCAGGAGTTAGCAGTCAGGAGTTTAGGGAGCTAGCACCACCATGCACAGCTGAGGCAGGAAATGGTCCGCATCATAATCATGAATGGCAGTTTACAATGATTTGATCAGAGCACAGTAGTAATACTGAGAGTGGCATATGTGTGTCTTCCCTGGATGCATATGACCGTAGAAACGGCCGAATGCAGTCGAAAATGTCCACCTTCCTTGTGGTTCGACACATCCAGCAAAAAAAAGGTCTTAGTGTGCGTGATTATTGTGCCAGCCTGGTGGGTGCAATCAGACTCGCTTCTTTTTCCACTTCGCACTCATGCAAACAGATGGTGTATCACACTGGCGCACAGCGCCCACTCAAGGCTCAACGATATGGAAGTTGAAAACACAGTTCAGATGCAAACTCGCTTCAACAGGCTACGGCGCATCAGCGCCTGTACACCCCAACTCTCATCTCTCTGCCCAACACCACTGTTCGCACTCACTCAACTCTGGATCACCCTGGATATCACACACGCACACACACTCACACACACTACTACTAACACACTCGCCTATCAGCTATGGTGGCTATGGCCGCTGTCCCTCTCTAGCTATCACTAACTATCTCCTTCAGCCCACTTTGTCTTCGGGCACTCTGCAGACCACCTCGCACGAGTCACTCAAGCAGCGCTTCCGCATGGCTTCCGCAGGAATGAATGAATGGCTGGGCGCTGCCTCTTAAGTTATACTTCTGTTTGCTGCTGGCCTGCCCCTTTTCCACCCGGCCCTTGGTGCATACAGTCCCATATGGTACTTGCTGACTGGACTAAGTGCGACTGGGACTGGGTACCGCTGACTCAGCAAGGGTCGATTCACCACTTGCCCACTTGCCTCTAGACTAAGTCTGCTGTGAGCAATGTTGGAAGGGCCAGTTCAGGACCTTCCAGAAGTCTGTGGACTTGGCCCTTTGACACTGTAGCAGCTACGACCTTGACCTTTCAGGACTGTAGCAGCTACGAACACACAGGTCTACAGTGTCGAAGGGCCAAGTCCACAGACTAGAGGTCGTAGCTGCTACAGTGTCGAAGGGCCAAGTCCACAGACTGGAGGTCGTAGCTGCTACAGTGTCGAAGGGCCAGTGTCTGTAGCAGCTACGACCTTGACCTTCCAGAAGTCTGTGGAAGGGCCAAGTCCACAGACTAGAGACTTGAACCCGTGACCTTTCAGAAGGGCTACAGCTACGACTTCTAGAGCTTGCTAAGACCTCTCTAACCCACAGGTCTACAGATCGAACCCCTACAACCTACGGGCCTACGACAGCCTACCAACTGTTACGAATACACAGGTCACGGGTTCAACTCTCGGGGTTGACACAGGCACTGTACACAGGTAAGGTAGGAACTAGGGATCGAGAAAGTGGAAAAGAGAAACGTTTGAAAACCTTAGCAGCACTATTCAATTTGAGTTTTCGACCTAGTGTGGCCATGGCGGAATATGGTATGATATATTGAATACGACGCAGCTTGGTACTATTGTGTACAAAACTATAATAATTACAAACACCTTGTAGAATCTGATTAAATTTTAGCTACTGCTAACAGGTGAATACCGTTTCATGGGAAATGCTCATCATTGCTAAACGCAAGAACTACACAGCCCGCACGAAGGCTTTGGACCTGCGAGCCAAATGCGAACGCACAAAATTGGAGACCGATAATATTGAGGGCATAATCATATTCAAAGGACATATAATGGACGTATTTGGCCATTTCAGTGACCAGATACATCCATAAATCCAGACACACAGTTGGGAGACCGATTTAGAACATCCATTCAAATTGAATCCAGAAAATCCCCAGCTGTGTGAGGATCACCTCCTCAATCCACAAAATTGCCTGCCGTCTTCACCCCAATAGACCGCCCGGTAATTCTGGCTGTATTAGGGTCAACTTTCCGTCCAGATACAGCCATGATGACCGGGCGCTCTATTCGGGTTAAGACGGTAGCCTGCAGGAATTCTGGATCTGCCAGTCCAGTTCAGATGCCAAGACTGAGACAGATTTGCCGACCAACTTAGAACGGATTTATATTCACAGTGCGATTTTATCGGACGTACTTAACCATTTGTTGCGACCCGATACATTGAAAAAAATCCAAAGGTGTGATTTTTTTTACCCCGCTCGGTCATTCCAAAAAGCACAAAAACTAACTAAGAAAAAAAGCAGGCAGGCACATGGATCTGCCATCTAAAAAAAAAAAAAAAAAAAAAAAAAAAAAAAAAAAAAAAAAAGTTAATCCGCCACGTGGCTGAAGGGGACAGACACGCATACTAGTATAGAAACCCCAAGCAGTTTCAATTAGTTTCGTGTAATCCAGATCGGGTTTCAATGAATGTACAATGGGGCTCGTTCGACACTCCTCGGGCGCGTAAAATCCCCGAGGAAATCATCGTTCCACTTATCCTCGGGGAACAAAACGAAAAAGAAATGGGATTCCTCGGGGATTCCTCGGGCTACAGCCATTACGACGCGTTCCCTTGGAGGTCGAGCATCCGAAAGAATCGGAGCGTCGACGGCAGCTCTCTCGACGACAATTTTCGACACGGCTGGTCCATTACTGTTCCTAGCGGCCAGTGGACAGACATCTCCGGTTGGCAACGGTCGGCGTCATGAAACACTCCGCCAACGGTCCCCTTTGGTGGCCTGCCGTCCTCCGCGACGTCGAAAAGGGGCTGCCTTGCGTTGCTGCCCTTCAGCACTAGCGGGAAAGCGCCCAACGGTCGGCAGATTCGAATACTTAAGCCCGCCCCTGCTCTCCCGATTGCGCAGTGTCTCCCGCGACGAAATACGTTACCCTGCTTTTGTCGGTAGCTGCGATCGGCCATTTGCGCCACTGAACCTCGCCGTTTCCTGGACGTCCACGGTTGTCTTCTAGCTGTTGGCGTCGTCCACGTGCGTTTCATGGCTGACGTCTTTCAGAGGCTGCCGCTGCTGGTGCTGGTCGTCCTCCTGCTCCTCCTCTTGGTTGTCTTCCACGTGTGCATCCTCGGCATCATTCCGCGACGTGGCCGCAGAAGACAGTCTTCAAAGAGGGACGTCAGTATGGAGGGGTGGCAGGGGATGTGCAGGTCTGCAGGGGATCAGGGTGGTGGCCAGCGGCCTGGGCAGAGCCCGTCGAGAAGTTCAAGGCCGTCGGAGCGTGCTGGGTACGCGCACCTGCCACCGCACTTGCAGCCTTTGCCGGACACGTCCGACGAGGAGGCAGAGGACAGACAATCACGGACCGTGCCGCTGGGAAGCCGGTCCACCCAGGAGTGGGCGGCTACAGAGCTCTGTGGAAGCCGCGACGGCGGTTATGGGCTCGGGCGAGCAGTCGTACACCCAACTCCTCCAGCAGGGGCTGAGTGGCGACGAAGGGGATGGCGGCGTCAATCTGTCGCTCCCATTGCCGCATTGCCTTGAAGTAGTCCGTCGTCCGACAAAGCTTCCGTGGTCTCTCGAAACACACGTGGCGACATGCGCAGCTTGTCCTTGAAGTAGTTCGCCGTCGCATCGTCGCATTGCCGAAGATCCTCCCACGTCCCGCCTGTCTGTCGCTTCATCCACCACCTGGGCCTCGCTCTGGGGAATGCTCCACACCCCATGGCGTAGCACACCTGCAGCACGGCGTCGCAAATGGCACCACTGTCCTCTCCCTCCATATTCGTGGACTGCAGCGTCCTCTTCCGCCGTGCGCGAATGACCGCTCTCATCCTCCCCTCGCCCCTCTTCAATTGACACCGGAAGAGGATGCCGTTCACGGCCGCTGCCACCGCCGTCCTCTCCGCCTTGCTCAGTGTGTCACGTCTCGTCCCCCCGTTCGCCTCCATCGCCAAAACTGGTACGGTATGGAGGGGCGTCGCCAAGTGCAGAAGACCCACGTGTGGCGGGCCACACAACAGCGCTGCTGCGATTGACGACGCGAGTGCAGAGCGTACACGTCTACGATCAAGCTCGGCTGCGAAGACGACAACGACGGCGATCGTGTGACGGCGTGTCTGCTGCTTCAGACGCGTACATGTACGTTCGGCGTGCCCGCCGACACGCAGCCGCCACCCCGTACCCAAACGCTTCCGCCGAGGAATATTGCTGCCGTCAGCCGCAAGGGACGCCCACGGTACTGGCCGGTCGCATGCGGAAATTCGAATTTCAAATTTCGAAAACGGGCCTGCACGCCTTTTTCGTGCCATTTTTTTTTCCCGCCGCCAACTTTCAAATTCGCGACGCCCGCCCGAGCTGGACCAACGACGTAGGCACGGACACACCTTGCTGGACCAACCTCCTCCCCCCCCCCCTGTCCGCTTGTCGATATATGAAAGTGGACGCAGGAGGGCCTGAGGAATCGTCCTCGGGGAACAATTCCAAGGATGAGTGGAATGACGGCGCGAATTTCCTCGGGCGACGACGGGATAATTTCCTCCGGGCCCGAGGACGGCCCGAGGAGTGTCAAACGAGCCCCAATGTACCTGGTCGTCAATTCTATCCGTGCACGGATGTACCTAGTCGGCAACTCTTATCCTTGTATGGACGTACCTAGTCAGCAATTCTATCCTCATACGGATGTACCTAGGCGTCAAGTATATCCAACCAGAGTAGAAAGCAAAATCATGCAATTTTTCTGCAATCATTGGTCACGATTTTTTTTTTGCGCTGTCTGATTCTGTCAGATTAAAAAAATCGAACGGGTTCATTCTTTTTTTTTTTTTTTGGGGGGGTGTTCATTCTCTGGTTTTCATGGGAAAAAAAAAAAAAAACACTGTCCGATCTGAAATCTCCACGTGTGGCCTATAAAAACACCAAAAACAAACAACAATTTTGTCCCATCCCAAATCGTCATGTGGCCACATCGACATCACGTGGCCAGGTGGACTTCTGCCACGTGGATATACACTGGGGCCACCTGGACGTAGAGTAAGACCACGTGCACATATACTGGTGCCACCTGGACATACACTGCCCACGTGACCAAAAAAACTGAGGCGGTGTAGCCATACAACTGCCACGTGGACATACACTGTGGCCATATGGGCAAATAAATGCTCTCCTGCTGCCACGTGGTAATATACACTGGGGCCACGTGGATGTAGACTGATATACGAGGCTCACCTGGACATACACTGTGCAGTCTGTGGCCACGTGGACAAAAAGAACTGCAGTGGCGTATAGCCGTACAGCTGCCACGTGGACATATACTGCAGCCACGTCGGCAAGTAAATGGCTCTCGGCCTGCAGAAAATCGCGAGATCTTGCTGCAGCAGTTGTCCCCCGAATAAAACGCACCCTCTCAATGTTGACTGTATCGACACGGAAAAGTAGGGTGTATATAGTAAAAAGTAAAATGTAATCATGGATGGTAGGTTAGGAACGGGAGAAACGGAAACCGGGTGGTGGGGACCACCGAGACCAGTTTTGGGGTTGAGATGTGGACAAATTCCCGGCCTCCGAAAAAAAAAAAAGGAAGCTGTTGTCGTTTTGTGTTATTGGTCCCCGTTTTCCATGACGGGCCTAGCTCCACTGCTCAACAATCTAGTCGGCTTTGTCAACCAGGTGCGTTTGGAGGAGTCCAACATTACATTTGGAATGTACGGCCACCATTTTAAAAATAACGCCATGTATCTTTCCATGTTGTGGCGGAAGATTCATTTTCTCATTTTGCACATTTGGAGAGCAGTGCAGCCAGGTCCAATGCCTTTGGTGAAAGTTCACTGAACTCCATTCCTTTCTTTTTCTTTTCTTTTTTTTCTCTCCCCCCCCTTCCCCCCGTAAAAGGGGGCGATCGTGTTGACTGGCCACAGCAGGTCATTCGGAATCACTACATCATTGAAAAAAAAAAAAAAAAAAAAAAAAAAAAAAAAACGAATCACTTCACTGTCAGAGGGCCCTCGAATTGAAAACAGGGGCGTGGTCCCACTAGCAAAGAGGATAGGATCGAATGCCTGAATCTGGACGAGTTTATGGAGATGTGCAGGAAATCGAGATTGAACTGCTTTCTGAAAACACATCCAGATTCAGGAGCTCGATCCTATCCTTTTTGCTAGTGGGACATCGGCCCAGAAGTCACAGTGCCAACAAAACAGTGCATATGTTTTTTTTGTTTTTTTTTTTCGTATATATAATATAGCTTACACCATTCTCTTATTATTTATGATCTCCCTCAGGCACACTACAGTACCCCAGAGTTTCCAGCACATTGGGCCTCGCTCCACCACTCTTGAAATGTGCAAAACAAGAGTGAATCTTCTGCTAGAACAAGGAAAGATACATCAGCATAATTTTTGTCTTTTGTGCATTTCCCTAGTGGAGCAACCCCCATTGTTTCTCCATTACAGCAAACAGCCTAGTCCAGGGGACACAGTATTCCCGGGAATACAACGTACGGTCATTATAGCTGAATTTAGACTGAAAGATGCCCCAAATTCAGCTATAATGACGGTACGTGGTATTTGGGGGAAGACTGTAGGTCCCACTTGCACGAATTAAGAGATACTGACCGCAGATAGCAAAGATCAACGGCCGAAATCTCCTAATTTGCACAAGTGGGACCTTGCCCCAGGGGGTCCTGCCTGACTTTTTTGTGAGGGATGCCGGGCACGGTTCCCCGCTTTAATTAATTTAAAAAAAAAAAAAGCATTCATCTGTTCCATCAGAGGATTCAAACTTGGGTCTGCTTTTTCCCATAATGAGCAACAATGTGTTTTCTCAAAAAAAAAAAAAAAAAAAAAAAAAAAAATTTTTTTTTTTTTTTTTTTTTTTTTTTTGCTGCTTCTCTTTTTTTTTTTGATTTTTTTTTGGCTTGAGAATGCCATCATAGAGTGGACCGGCCCCAGGTGATTCAGAATTATTTCATTGTTTTAAAAAAAAAAAAAAAAAAAAAAAAAAAAAAAACTTGGGTCTGTGATTCAACAGTTCATGGGTATACCAACTGGGCTAGGTTTGTTGGTTATATTCCTTTGTTTTTCTTTTTTTTTCTTTTTCTTTTTTTTTCTTTTCTTAAAAAGGGAAAATTTGTCTGGCGCCTCTGTAGTTTGCATTATTTCGCGTCGCACCTCTCCGACGGCCTATTTACCCTGTCGCGTCCCTGGGCCAAAAAATATTTTCGGCAGGCCCTTGTTGGTAGTGACCGCAACTTTCCAGGACGCTGTGACGCACGTGCAGAGGGCACGTGCGGAGAATGGTGTGAGAGAGAGAGAGAGAGGAGATGGACACACACGAAAGCAGCAGCTGAGTGAATGTCCAGCCCGGCTCGAATGAACGAACAACAGAATGAATGAACCTGCCGCCCTGGACCTAGGCCGAAGTGATATACCGGCCTGGGTCCAGTAGCGGAATAACCTGGTACCGGACCAGGGTCAGGCCGGCGGCCTGAAACTGGTCCGGCCTCACTGCCGGGCCGGAGGGATACCGCTCCACGATCCTCGGACCTGTAAATGGATCCAGAGATACATCAAAACACGCTATCCGCTGAAAGAGCGGGAACCCAAAAGGAACGGCCAAAGAAAAACAATCCTAAATGCGGAGCAAGCTCCATGCAGGAAAAAGGGATGCAATGCAGACAAAGCCGCAAGCCTAATCTATACAACAATGTCTGGTTAGAGTCGGCCCAAAAAGCAGAAAAATGTCTGACCTGTGTCGGCCAAGAAAGAGAAAAATATATATATATATATAAAAAAAAAATGTCTCATGAGCCAAGTAGGCTGAATATAAATCAACATCAGGGCCCTAAAGGCCAAAGAATAGCTTAGCCAACGTTCTACGTCGAAAAGAATGTGGCACAATCTCACGTGCCCTGTACACAATGCACAATGCCTGAACAGAAGAGGAAGGAACTTAGTCGCATGGCAAAGGTAGGAATAGGTGGGAAGGCGGTAGGTACAGCTCTTAGAGTAAACTCCAAGGGGTCACCCACACAACCAGGTAGGGGACATCAGGCTCACGGAGGGAGCAACAGCACGACACCGGGCTCGATGGAAACCATCAAACGGGCACCGCCAGCTGAAAGGGGAATGACACTCACACAAGGGAGCACGCATAAGGTGAGCCTGGAAGGAGAGAGGGCTATGCCGGCATAGACATGTGGCCCAAGAGCCGCGAGCAAAGAAAACGTACACTCCAGAGGAGGGGGCGCAGCATAAGGTAAGGCAGAAGGGCGGCAAGCGGACACACCCACATAGACAGGGGAAATAGGGGTCATCATGCGACTGGGGGGGTAAGGATACATGGAGATGATGAGAACTCCGTAGCCGAAAGCGTGAAGTAGTCCAACTGATGAGTCTCCAGACTGAAGTCGAGTCGAAGTAGCCAGGATGAAGGAGTAATGCAGACAACCAAGTRGAAGTCCGGAATCATGTGACATGTGCGCTGGTACTGAGCAAGAGCACTGAGATTGAAAAGTCGAATGTAGAAGTCGAATGTAGAAGCCGAAACCGGGAGCTGCTGCATAAGTGTCCAAGAGTGGTAAAAGATAGACGGCGTATAGGGCGTAAGATCAGTCACGATATCGAGAAGGAAGTCGATGGTTACGCTAGGGGCGAGAGGACTCAACTGCGACGACAGGCGGAACCACATCCACACGGGGAGGAGGGTCTGGGGCAGGTACCAGTGAAGCAGGAGGACCCATTGATGAGGGGGGGGGGATGTTAGTGGTCGCTGAAGTAGATGGATCAGTAGAAGGACGAGAGGTAGGAGGGGATAATGATGAAGGGAAAGGATGAGCACGATCGTAAGCACGCACAAAAGTCATAGCATGCTTCAAGTGCTCAAGAGGCTCCCACGTAGGCTTCTCGTCAGGGTAACCCTTCCATCGAACAAAATACTCGAGACGGGGAGGGTCACCATCTGTCATACGCCGAGACGCAATATCAGAGACGACAAACTCCTCGTGACCTTCAATGATGATGGGAGAAGGGCGAGGGCAAGGTCG